TTAGAATGAAGATTAATAATGGCACAACTTTTGGATAATGCCTAATAAAAAATATATAGGCACAAAATAGGTAAGGGTGACTGGCGCCTGGTCTAAAAATGCCAATTACAGGAACCTGGTTTAAAAATACATACCAATACCGATGTACATGGCATGTGTATTTACAGATTTCTAATCAGAACCAATCCATTATTCTTATCATAAGTTACCTCAGAGACAAACTATAAGTGAAAAATAAGAAATTTCTAATTGGCATTTATCTGTATAATCCTATATAAGTACGTGAGAGTGAAAACCTGCAACCAGTCGTAGAAAATCATTAAATCTGTTTTCAGGTTTTTATTCTTACGCACTAATATATAATGCTTGCGCTGATTCTCAAAGGGTCAATTGCAAAAAATTAATTTCATTCATGTACTTTAATGATAATAATAATGTAATAAGACTTTTACTAACCTGCTTTGCCGTATATAATCAAATATGTAATGATTTTTTTTACTGAGTAGACCAACAGGAGGAAATGTATCTGATCCAAACTTAATCCCACACCTGGTGTGCAGCACATAAAAAATCATTTCACAATGATGGGCCAGTTAACCACCAACAGTTTAGATTAGGTATGTTTCCTCCTGTTGAATAAACTAGATTAAATCATTGATTTCTTAATTGTAAAGATAAAATAATTTAATAAAATCATTTGTAATATTTATCTGCAATATATCATGTTCGTTATTTCGAAATTGGATAATGCTTTGTTTCAAAATAACTTCTATTTATTTCCCAACATAAAGCACTTTTCATTTATGCTTATTTCAAAAATCAACTAGTGAAAATTATATTTTAACTAATGCGTATGGTTTATAGGGACTTGAGATAATGTGCAGATAGGCATTGCTTTGAGAAAATATGTCAGCTATTAAAAAATTAGATAAAGAATTAGGGTGTTTAACAATATAAAATATTCAAGTAAAAAATTGTAATAAAAAGGTGTCTTCTGTTGGGAGGTTTCCGACCTTCACCATGGCTTAAAAAAAATAAAGATATACTTCTTTGTGCATTATTATTTTAAGAATTTGCACACCCACAAAACTACTATGCCAAAACTTTTTGTTTTTAAAAAGCAACAAAAAAAAAAAATGAATGCAGCTCGTTCTGCTCAGCAAGCGATGAATACTAAAAATCTTGTTGACCTTAGTTCAAGTGAGGAATATGAAAGTAATAACTCTAATAGAGATAATAATTCAGATGATGAATTTGTAGAAGACGATGAACTAGATAACGATAAAGATGCAAGTTCAATTATAGACCGTCTTCTTGCAGCTTCAGAAGCTAGTTTTGAAAAAAAGAGACAACTAAAATTATATACCGGGCTTTCTGCAAGAACTCATCAAAGAAAAAATAAGATATTAAAGGAAGCTGCAGCTAGAAGTTTAAAAATTACAAGTTTTTTTTGCACCACTAATACTCAGCTACCAGCCGCTGATGAAGAAGATATTGAAGACCATAGTTCTTTTAGGAGAGAATGCGATAATAATGAATCAGAGGATGATGATGAATCAGGGAATGATAATGAATCGGAGGATGATGATGAATCAGAGGATGAAGAAGTTTTGATTAATAAAACTATTGAATTTGTGAACAAAATAATGAATGAAAAAATACTCTCAAAAACACTCTCAAAAACCAAAAAAACTCATTATACAGCAGTTCTTTACTTTCTTCGGTTGCTTCTAGATGGTCAAGGGAAAATGAAGGCGTCAGAAACAGTTGCAAAGGTAATTAATGGTGGTCCATGGCTCGCGAAATGTATTAGAAAATGGGCAAACATTTGTATAATAGAGGAATTAATCTCACTGAGCCTGAGAGGAAAATTGCCTACCAAAAGCCCGCTTCATAATAAATTTGTATCTCTTCAGTTAGCTACTTACTTACCAACTCAAAAGTTCAAAGCAACTCCCGAACTAGTTAAGAATTATTATGATCAACATATTTTACCTCGATTAAATATCAGACCTGTACAACATATTTCAGTTCAGACAGTTCGTCAGTGGATGCATAAGCTCAGTTTTCACTACTAACGTTACCAAAAAGGTGTGTATAGGTAGGGTGAAATTACCCTTCTTAATAAAAATGATTTGGTAAAATTAGTAAAATTAATTTTTCAATATTAAAAATTAATTTATTAATTGAAACTAATCTAAATTAAATAAAATAATTATTTGATATAGTCAACCCTCTGTAAATGCACCCCTTGGACTGTAAGCAAAATGTATATTTAGAAAGGGTATGCATTTATGGAAGGTCAACTGTATTAATTTATAAAAATATTAAAAATATTGAAATTATTGTTGAAATTAAAAAAAAAATTAAAAATAAATTTCACTACATCTATAGGTGTTTACGTGGATGGACATAAGTGACCAGATGTTGTTGCTTATCGTCAAACCTTTCTTAAGAAAATTGCGTAGCTTGATCAACTTATGTCTAAGTGACTTGATCAAGATTGTAGGATAAGAACTTTTCTGCAGCTAAATGATGATAAAAAAGAGCATGTATGGGTAACTCATGATGAAAGTACCTTCTATACTTATGATAGACCACATTCTGTATGGGGCCTAGTTGGAGAATAACCATTACGAAAAAAAGGATTGGGACCTAGCGTGCATATAAGTAACTTCCTAACAGAAACAATAGGGCCTCTTAAAGATGATCAGGAAGAAGCACGAGTTATGATGGTATTGGGTGCCAACTGAGACTAATTTTGGAATTCTGCAAAGCTTCTTGAACAAGTCAAAAAAGCAATATTTATCTTTGAGTGAACATATCCAGGGTGTGTGGGTTTATTTGCCTTCAATAATGCCACTTCACACACGGCTTTTGCTGAGGACGCTCTTGTTGCCTCTAAAATGAATCTTAGTCCAGGTAGTTCCACTCCAAAAATGAGAGATACAATATGGAACAATGATCATCAATCGATGATTATTAAAGAAGATTATTTTATCTATGATAAAAAAAAAAAAAAAAATATTAATTTATGTAGTTAACCTAAAGGTAGGAATGACAAATATTTTTATTGCATGCTTAAAAACAGACGGTAAATATGATCTAATATCTTAAATCCAGATTTAACTATTCAGACTTCGATCATCACCAGTGTTCGAAATTAGTGTTCTTAGTTCCTATAAGAACATGGTTGTGAATTTGTGCATATTATTTACTGTACTCTTAAAAATTTTTTGTGAACAGTAAAATAATAAAAGTGTTCTTATCTACAATATAGAGATTAAAACCTTCTAAAACTTTTCTAATAGGTTAACCGTTTAACCATATTAATCGCCAGTATTTAAGATAATTTTTAACCTATTACCAACATAATTCATGTTGGAATTACAGAACAATTTTACATAGCTAAACGGTTCCAGTTCTTACTATTATATGTTTTTCTAACATGGAGGTTTTTTTCTTTTTTACTTGTTTATGAGAACAGCTATAGCCATTGTACTGTTCTCATAAGAACAGTATTTGAGTCTTAAATTTCGAACACTGATCACTACCTGTTTTAAATTGACAAAAATATTTAAAATTTTTTATTTTTTTTTTTTTTACCATCCCTATTTAAAGGAATCAAGTGGGTCCTCACTGAA